CATATTTTTATAAAATCTTAAACAACTCACAGGAAATATTCTTTCAAGTCTATCCGGCCCCTTAACTTTCAAAAACCAACATTCTAGACCCTCTTTTGCTGTTTTCCAAAAATTAATTCTTTTTCCTTTTAGTCCTTAAACACACATGAAACTTTTTTCATCCAGGATAGAAGGAAGCTTTCCCAGCGTAATGAAACTCGCCCTTCAGAAGGTCAAAGAGATCAATAACAAGCAATTTCCTAAGGTAGTTAACAAACTCAGTGTCCCTTTGAAGGTGCCGAACTGTGGTTTAAGCAGGTTGATTTCCCCCCTATTCCCAGAGCTCTCAGACCCACCAGAGATCACTATTCTACAATCTCTTCATGGGGAGCCTCTGTATGAAGCAAACCTGTGCATGATCCTAGTCCTCTCCTTGATCCCGAGAGGGGTTCCAAGGAGCGGATCCATTCACCAGCTCCTCTTTCCACCCCGACCATCAGCTGCGCCCTCCCAGAACTGTCTTCAGTCCGCCGAAAGTCAGGGAGGAAGGATTTTTCTAGATCGCCCATATCTGGGCTACAAAAAACGAACCACTCTCTAGCCACAGGTTACACTATCTTCAATACTAGATGGCTATCTAGTGGTTGTCCAGATATTTGCAGCCCATATCTCATTAGCCTAATTTTTTTGTCGTAGCTCATCCAAATGTAGAACTGTCTACCTGGCTGGTAGGGTCTAGGAAAAGCTGAATTCTTTCCTGTTTCTGCCCAGTTGAAAAGTTTGTGATTCTTCTTCTGGTGATAAAACGGACCAACCTTTTTCATATTTCTGTTGCTCTTTTTAATCTCTCTTTTCTTTTCTTTTCTTTTTTAAGGTATAACAGATACTGACCAGATTGAAAACCTCCGCAGGACCCCTCAGGCCCTGGTATATTTTGCAGATGAATTCAAGGACATCTCCTGCAGAGTGGCCAGAGACCTTCTGGTCCTCGACCTGGATGATAGCCAATATGAGCTGATCACGGTGGTAGGCTACCAGGTGGGAGGAGAATTTTGCCGTCAAACCAAAGGTCCCTTCTGCAACCAAGCTCTTAAGCCATCTACTTTTTATAGGTAATTGTGGACACACAAATATATAAATACTTTCCTTCACCCCCCCCCCCCCCCCAAGACTTCAACTTTCCTCTCTATTTTCCATGGACAAGTGAGGTGTGCTAGATGCTGTGTGCCCCTCAAGATGGTGCTTTCATGCTAGGCTTTTAAGGTGAAGTTTCCGTACTTGTTTTCACAGTTGTCTATGGAAGGGGTGGTCCCAATAAGTCAAGATGGCAGCCACAATTGTGTTATCAAAGCCCCACCTCTACACCACACAAGTTAAAAGGGGGCAGGCCTTGATCATGTGGTCATGGCTACCCTTTTTCAACACCCTGCCTCTGGTTCAGTGCACTGCATGTGTTGTGCATGCAAAAAAAGGGGTGGAGCTTTAATCTTGACTTTTTTGATCCATCCCCCATGGAAACCTCTGTTTGTTTGGTTTTAATGTTTTATCAGGTGTCCTCATTGCATTGTCATCCAGCCATTGTTACATGAGGTTCTTCCTTCTTGTTTTCAAGGGTGTTTCCAAGAGAGACATTTATTCTGTTCTCTCTTTGCTAAGAAACAGCATTTTCTAAAGGTCCAGGAAGTATCATCTTCCATTTATAACCTCTCCATCTTTGGAAGCCCCATCTTCCAACACTCCTACTTCCAAGTTCCTAAACATTTTCTCCCTTTATTTCAAGGGTGAACTTCTTTTTTTTGGATGACAAGTCTGTGATAAGAGCCCATACGGATTGGTCAACAGCCATACAGACCAGGAATGGTAAGTTTCAAGTTGCTTGATTAAACTCAGGCAGGTTAGTAGGGAATCCCTTCTTGGCTGGTTAGTGAATATTCTTGAGTCTTTTTTCACAGCAACGCATCTTAAGAAAACAGCTCTGATTTATTCTGGGACTACTGTAACTACATTTAATAGTACTGTAGAAAAAGAAGAGAAACTCCCTAGTAAACAAAATATTTTCTGGCCAAGAACTCCCTGGCTGGATCAGTCCATTCCTTTAACCCAGAACCAGGCAAATCCCATTATGGTCAGGTTCACCCATAAGACTAAAGCTGGTGCCAGCAACATCATCTTTATTTCCAACCACATAATTTTTTTTTGGAAAATAAACATGCAGGAGAGGGCTTTGTGGGGAAGGGTGCTCCCTTGTTCAAGGACACGGTGGCAAGGTTGGTGAGCCAAGGGAGAGGGTTTAGAATTTGGGCCAGTGGGCATCCTGGAAAATCAGCACTTGGCAGTTGTCCCCATGGGGGCCACTTCATGAGAACACCCACGGCTCTCAAAATCCCATAAACACCCATTCATCCCAAAGGCTAGCTATCTCCATGGTAGGCCATGACTTTAACCATCATTTGAGGAACAAAATGGTCTGATCCATCCATACTGCTGAGCCATAAACCATGGTTTACAGGCCACATGGCTGAATTCACAAATTGGGACTGCCTGAATATTCAGATGCAGCAGCTGAGAGGTCCCACCTTTTTGGACCAAACCATGTCAGCCAGAAAGTGATGAAGGGTTGAAATCAAGCACGACAGAAATGTGTAGATAGCCAGAAGTGTGTATCAGATCTCATGAGTCACTTTTTCGCTGAGGACCCATATCAAGTCATCCTTTTAACAGCTTTGTAAGACCAGGGAATGCCAGTATTTCCAGTGTGCAGATGGACTGAGGCCAAGAAGGTGAATTCTCTGAGTCCATGTGGAGGGCAAAGGCTTTTAATGGATCCCTATCCCCACATTGTAGCTTAACTGATTCTAAACATCAGTTTTACAAGGGCTCTTCTGCTTCCCAACTCTTTGCAGTAGGAAAAAAAAAGTCAATAGGACCTCTAAAATCTGGATCGCTTCACATGCATGAAAATATTTGTTTACTGATGTGAACTCATTCCTTGATCCCGCCTAGAGAACTCAGCCAGGCTGTTGGTTTCCATAGAGGCAAGTTGTGAGCATTTCAGGGCTATGATGTTAGTTCTTACACCTGAGTGTAATTTACAGACACCACGGGGATCTAAAGCAGAGTTTGTTTTGACACTTCTTGGGATGTTTTGACTCTTAACTCCATCTTCCTTTGCATTCCAGTGACCAACTACGAATCAGCTGATGTGATGTTCGAAGGGCGGGCAGGAGGAATGATAGTAATTACTATTCTGGTCTCCGTTGGTGGGGCTGTCCTTCTCGTCGCATTAATCGTAGCAGTTGCTCTTTCCAGTAAGAAATAGGAAGTCTGACCATTCCTTTCTTCTGGATTAAAAATGATTCCAGATATGGTTGAAAAGCAGAATTTGCTAGGGAAATCAAAGGGGATTCTACAGGAGCAAGCCCTCAGTTGGAACAAACTGGTGAAGAACAAGCTGGTGAAGAATGAAAGCAGCGTCAAGTAAAACAGAACTTCTACAATTTCTCCCATACGATTCTTCAGATTCTACGCGCATTACTTCAAATGCATTATATTTTGGACGCATATTGAATCACTTCTCTGCAAAGATAACCCTGGATTCAGCAAAATATTTTTAAATATCTATTATCAGTATTGCCCTTGTTTCAAATGTACGAGGGTGGCCAAGCTGGGTTGGCTGCCATATAATGTATGAAAGAATCCTGCTTATGGCTGGGCCCAACCAAATGCATAATTCCAGTTGCCTGAAGAGTTCAAAGAAAAGCAAGACCACACTTAATTATGGGTGTCCACAGGGGAGGCACTTCATTGCAAAAATGACATGAATTACATAATTTTTATGAATGTTTTGTGCAATGACTTCCTCATGGCTTCTACCAGACATTGCTAAAAGTAACACCTCTTCTTATTAGACCAATTCCTAATGGGCAATGTCTATAAACTTTCCAGAGTCCCTTTTTCAATATTCCTATTCAAAGACTACCTCTGTGAAGCCCAGAGGCTGATTGAGTTGCCAGAATTTCAACAAAGATGCTGAGTAGAAGCCACAACGATGTCTCATGGAACATGACATGATTCTGCATGTGACATTGTGTAATTTGCAAACGAAATCATTTGAGTTCATTTGTGCCATGATATCAAAATGTCCATGATGTCATTTACCTCCCCAATTTCATATCTTTGATATTTAGAAACGTTTGGTTGGGGGTAGAAGGATCTCTAGATGCTCCACATTAATGTCTGTCCTCAGGAACAAATTTCCAGATGTTCTCACGTAGAAGGCGAAATGCTCAAACTTCATGTTGTATAAAATTATTAGGAAAGGAGGATGAATATAATCATAATGCCTCAATTAAAGAACTGAAAAACCGTTTGAGTCTTTGTGTTTATGACTTCTTGGCCTACTACAAGTATATTTTTAATTGTTTTTCTTTTAGCTGATGCTGTTTAGTAATTTATTTGACAAAAATTGTGACAGGAAAAGAGTGGATGTACTCATGGAGATGGAGAGACTGGGACCAGAGCGGCCTTCAGTCTCCACTTTTAGACACTCTCAGCTCTCCTTGTGTAATTTCAACATAAGGGGAATGGGAATGCTAGAAGGTGGGTTTTACTTCCATATTGTTCTTCTACATTTTATACAATAATTCCTAATTCTGTCCCCTCCCCAAGGGTTGGTTGTGTTGAGTAAAATCATGTGATAGTACCCTAGAATTCGCTCTTTTTCTTCTTTTCTCCTGAGACAGGGTCTTTTTCTAAACATCATCTTTGCCTCTAATACTGTCATAACGTGCTTTTAGCTAACGCTAGCTGAAAAAAAAACAACGAATCAGGATTGGAACCAGTTGGAACTTAGATGGGAGACCACCAGAAAATCCTCAAGCTGTACACTGGACTGCAAAGTCAAGAAAACTCCCCAGAAAAAACCCAAGAAAACAACGTTGGTGTTCTCCATGGTTTCCAGGAACCAAGCCAAGGAGGACCATTATTCCTGATGCAACTTGTTCCAGAGTGACGAGAGGTATATTATATTAAAGAAAAGTTCTGTGATTTGGGCCAAAGAAGACATATTTCTTAAGCAAATAATAACTGCTGCAAAGAGGAAACATCAGATCAGGATGGCAGGCGTGAAGGGATTTGTGGGGTTCTTGCACACATTGCTTAGTGTCTGATGTTCAGCATACACAACTTAGAGTTGATTGTGATTGACGTGCCCCCTAAGCCTGGGTAATCCATCCTTCAATCTTCTCACCCTGCCTTTTTCCACCATCAAAATCCATTCCCTCAAGGGCTTCAGATATGTTTCAGCCACGGGGCAACCAGGATATCAGCTTAATCGGAAAACTGTCACAGGAAACGGATTAAGCCGGTTGTCCCTCAGAATGATAGTGCTGTAATGCTGAGTGCAGGAGGCTGGTTAGTGGTTGCAAAAACCCAGGGGTCTGGTTGCACCTTGTCCATCTAATAAAGTTTATTAAAAGGCAGAAGCTTTCCCCAGTTGCAGCTTCCTTCATCGGGTGCAGAGAGGGACACCAGAAGGATGATTTTTTTTGGCACCAGAGACTAACATGACTCACCGCCTACAATGATTAGTGGCTGGAAATGCAATACTAATAATCAGGGGTATCTGGACGCATGCAAATTCAGAGCGGGGTTCAACTACACGGCTTTAGCTCCCATCTTGATTCCCCCCATGGACCCCCCGCTAATAACAACTCTGGACATTTTGCTGGATTCTGGCTGTGCCTTCATTCCCCTCCCGTTGGCGCATCATGCCACCTACAGGGTGAAATCCCAACAGAGAAAAGCAGTAAAAGGATGGAAAGAAAAGAGGTGAGAACAAAGAACCATTTCCACTTTTTGTGACAACGGCTGTACTTCTGCTGGAAGTACAGACCCTGGCCTGATTCTAACCCTCTTTTCCAACCTTCTGCATGTAGAAGACCAAAAGGAGGACTGAGGTGGGCTCCTCCCACCATACCACAATCAACCTTCGCTGGGACTTGTCCCTTTGCTTTTCTATCAAAAGTCTTACTTAATCCTAGAAGAGAATCACAGAACTTAAGGGTTGGAAGCAAAGTAGTCCCCAAAGTTAATATGGATTGATAGGTTGGGTTGAAAGACTTCCAGGAAAGGAAGGAGAGCAGCAAGCTGGGGTTATGTGGGCCATAAGGAAGAATAATTGCTTTGGTGTGACTTCACCTTGCGTGCCAGTCGAGTCCTTTTCTGGACCAGGAAGCCATGCTGAGGGTCACTCATACCTTAGTCACCACCAGAGTGGATTACCACAGTGCACTCTGCCCGGGGCTGCCCTTGAAGGACATCTGGAAGCTGCAGCTGGGACAGAATGCAGTGGCATGGCCAGTTATGAATGCTCCTCGGTGTGCGCCATGTTACACCTTTGGTTCCCCAGCTGCTGCAGGTGTTGCTGCGTTTCATATTACATTTTATTTTGTTTTTAGAGGTTGCAAGCTGCCCAGGGTCTGTATTTATTTATTTCTTGGATTCGTGAAGGCCCTCCAACTCCAAGAAGACTCTGTGAGATGGGCAGCCGTATGAATTGAAGAAAATAAATTAAATAATTTTACTCCCGTAAGAGCAGAGCATCAGGAGCGATGAAGTGAGAAGTGGAAATTCTGAGCATGGAGAAAAAGAGGAATTTTATGCATTCAATCTCTCACTTTATTTCTGCCAAATGCAAAATCCACACTCATGTATAAATATATTAGGTATGTTATAAAATATACCACATAAATATTAATGTCTTTTAAGATAAACATTAAAGGTCAATATACATAGGCATTCTAGTATTTTCTTCCCACAGCCCAGTGGATGGTGGTGATGACCCCTACAATTCATGCACCCCACTTTGAAGACGCTGCTTTATTTACACCCCACCCCACTGAAACTTTTATGCCCAATGCTTTAGATTCAGATTGAAAGTTCCACCATTTTTAAATGAATATTTTTGTATTCAGCAATTTTGGCAATCCAAATTCTCTTTGCAGTTGCTAAAAAACTAAATAGCATCTCTATAATTTCAGTTGATTGCAATTATTAATTCCTTTTCCAACATGAGTTCTTAAAAAAAAAGCCCAACATTTTCCCTGTCCTGTTAAATTTATCTCAAAGAGTTGATTTACTGGGATCAAATTTAATGTTCATCTCAATGTCTTCCAAATGAGTCTTACCAGAAAAAATGTCAATTAAAATTAGAGCCAAGCACTTTTCAGGACTTCAAAAGAGTCAAATAACTGCTGCCTAGTTCTCCACATAATGTCAGAATTAATACAAACAAGAGATGTAGACCCAGTGATATAATTAAAAATTTGGGAGTTTAAACCCCCCTCCTCATATGAAAGTCTCCGATTAGCCTAACCAAACCTTGGAGTCTGCCCATCCCATAAAAATTCATGACTTATCAATCTTTGTAAAATATCTGAGCAAAATTAACATAAGAATTCTTTTTAAAATATTAATTAATCTAGGAGCAATTGTCATTTTGATTACTATACGCTCATTCATTCCTATAAACTCATTGGTAGTTTTAAGGATCTATTTATAAGGATATTAAACTCTGCTATGTAATTTAAAATAGTTAAATCTATTGTTGATGGTATCTTCCTGGAGATACCTCTTCGACTCATCTGTGTATTTGCTGTCCTAATTTTCATTTAATCATTCCGTGTTTATAGGAATCTGCAGGTCGGCCATGATGTCATCACACAAATGTGTCAGACGTCCTGATGCAATCACCAAATGTCTTTTGCATGATAATGTCATTGGGTGTGCAGTCCTTTTGATATCACAGTGCCTTGGAATGAATCCCTATGTTGGATGCATAGACATGTTTACTATGGTCACTATTTATTAATTTATTTATTTAAATTATGGCTGCCCGTCTCACCACAGTGACTCCATGCAGCATACAAAGATTAAAAACCCAGCAATTAAAACAACAACCCATGACACCCAACGTAAATGATACCTTCTAATCATAAAAACACATCAACGACATAGCTTGCTTAACCTTTCATTTAAAGGAACAAATGGATTGAGTTAGTTATATGCCCTTAAGTTGGGTTTGGCTTCTGGTGACCATCTTAGTCTTCTTCTTCCAAATGCTGCCTGTTATTGTCCTCCTTCTTCTCCTTGTCTTCTCCTCTTCTTCCTGTTACTTGCACACAGTCTACCAGATACTTCTGACTATCAGATGCTTCCCAAGGATCTAGTGTATCTAAAGACACTTTCAGAATAAACCCATTTTAATGCAATTGTTTGCAGTTGATGAGCTGAAATTCTGTCCGTTCCTACTATGTGCTTCTCCAGATCTTTGGGGATGGCACCAAGCCCACTGACTACTCTTGGCACCACTACCACTTTCTTTTTCCACATTTTCTCTATTTGAAAGTCTTTGTATTTTCCTATTTTTTCTTGTTCTTTCTCACTGACCCTTCTACTTCTAGCTACTGCAGTGTCAATTGTCATACTTCTTTCTTGGTAACCACAGCCATGTCTGGCTTATTTTGGGTGAAATATTTATCAGTTTGTATTTGGAAGTCCTATAAGATCTTAAGCTTTTCATTCTCGGCCACCTTTTCAATGTTGTGGTTCCACCCATTCTTTGTTGCTGGTGAGTTGTAATTCATTTTCAGCTGCGTTTTCCACAAGCTCATTGTCTTTGAAACAAATTTCTTGACATTATCACTTGCTTTTGGAAAGACCTCCTAGGGGCCCATTACACTTCCGGGGACTCCCTGGCCGTGCTAGTTTCGTGGTACCCGTGAAGATTCTGGCTTTCTTCCAGGATCATTTCCAGATTTCTCAGTACGGCCTACAACCCGGAGCCTCCCACCCGTGGAGGGGAGACCACCAGGAGACCCCTGGAAGTCACACCGCTCTCGGAGGAAGGGCGCAGGGACGAGGCGCGCAGCTGCCGGGCTGAGCTGGAGCGGGAGGCTTCGTCTGCCCAGGGGCGCC